GACGGCCGGGGGCTCGTCATCCGGTCAAAGTACGATCGGAGAAGGGAACCAGAGATTGGTTGGGTTGGGGCCGACGTTAAACTACAAACCGGAAGGGGACGGGAGAGAGAGACGAGGACGGCGGAGCATTCGGCGGAATCTTGGAAATAGATTTTCGATGAACAACAAAGAAGAACACTGCAAAGCGCCGGAGCTGACTTTGGAGCACCAACTCGCTCAGGCACAGACAACGGCGCCAAACGCTACCCGGCCACCGTTGAGATCTTACTAATTATTATTATTGTAATTACACAAATGTCTGTCTTAAATTCTTGGACAATTTACAAATTATAGGTTACGAATTTTATTGATTAATTGAAACTTTAATGTCTTCAAGGGAAGTTGTTGGATTGAACCGTCTCACGTCAAATTCTTTTGGGTGTAAATCTTATTTTTTTTATCTCCTAATTTTACCGCCCCAACTTTTAAAGTAAACTTCCTTCACATGCATTTTAAATAAAAGTCAATATCAATATAGCTCAACTTCCAAGCACTCATATTCAATATAAAAAATTTCGAATTCCTACTTCCACATGTTATATTTAAATAGAGAGACAGATTTATAGTAGTCCTAGGCTCCGACCCAATTTTATAACACCATTTATTATATAGTAAATAAAAATTTATGTTAGCAAAAGTTTGTGCAGCAGAGCATGCCCCTCGGCCCTAGGCAATCCAGAGTTCCAACCTTCATAATTTGTACTTTTAAATAATGCAGTCACATTATAGTTTTTTTTTCTAATTAGAAGGATTTTTATTTTCAATTTATATATATACATTTATCCTTCCTTTAGTTTTTATAAAATGTTGTATCGATGTCTTCTTTTCTTTTCTATAAATAATTAAAATTTCAAGAAGTGCGTTTTTTTTTTTTTTTTAAAAAGCACGCTTTTTCTTTGAACTTCGTAAACAAAAATTTTGAATTCACCATTGATTGAATATGTGGATATTAAGTGTCAAAATAGTAACAAATACTAAAATAATTAATTTTTGACATTTAAAAAGTTAGTAAAGCAAAATGAAACCAACTTTAAAACCCAAAAAGGCAAAACAGGATTTAAACTATTATTTTAATTAAATACATGCGTTAAAATATTGTTTTTTGATACATAAGGGTTTTATTGTGAAATATTAATGCACAATAAGCAATGGGAATTTGTATTCGGTGGTTAAAATGTGAGCTAACTTTTTAATTTTGTAAATATGACAACAAAAATTAAATATATTTTTTTTATTTTTTAGTTATTCTAATTCTACCTTCTAAAACTTTTAAGTATATCAATGATATATCATGTATACCAACAAAGGCTAATGTAAATAGTAAAGGGATTTAGAAAGAACTAGTTCAAAACTATGGTGGCCACCTCCTACCAGTTTTCTTGGTAATCAATGTAGCATAGTCAGGCGGTTGTCCGTAAGATTAGTTAAGGTGGATGCAAGTTGGTCCGAACATTTACGGATAGTCACATGTGCTCAACTGAATTAGCAGCCATGGAACTGCAAAATTCATCGTGAGACTCCAATCCCGATGAATCGTGCTTGAAGAATTTGCAAATTGATAAATCTCGATGTGTGAAACGATCTATTACACAACCCCACCCAGCATATAAAGGAATATCACATATATATATATCAATTTTTTTATTTTTAGATAATAAAAATATTATGTTAATTCTTATATAAGAGAGACTTACGAAGAAGAAGGAAAAAAAACCAACTACAACATGTTTATTTTCAATAATGTGATATCCTTAACATGCACCTCAAGATGCTGTCCCTTTTGGATTCACAAATTTTGGGAGAATTCCATTTTTTGATCAAATGCTCATTTGAGCTTTTGGACTCTTATACCATGTTAAACATGAACAAACTAACCATGAATACAAAAACTTAAGTTGATGGATTAGGGTAAATCTTTTGCTTTATTATATACATAAATACATACATATACATACATACATACATACATATACGTACATACATATAATATAATTAAGCAAGCGGCCCTTTCGCGACTCAAACTGCCGGTACGCTTTCCGGCTCGGAACGACCGACTCAAACGGGCGGGGGCTCTCTATTTGCTTGCAATGTTGGTTGTTCGCCTTTAGTTAGAAGTAGATGTAGAGGTCACCCTTTGCCCCACACTGAATTGTGAAAGTCAGGAGTGAGAAAGAAAAACTTGGTTACGGGAATCGAAAGTTAGACCAATTTGAAGCTAGACGTAAAAAAGTTTATTCCTACCTCTTTCTGTCAATGTTGTCAATTCCCAAAAGACTAATCTAATAATGTACCCTTGTGTATACAATTGCCCAACTAATCTTTCTTCCTTCGACTTTTTAGCCACTTTCGAATCTGTTCTATTCAGGAGAGCTTGCTTCGTGGCGAAGCATTTAGCAATTTCAGTAGCCTAGTGAGAGTTGGTTGTCTAGGGATAGGTTAAGGCAGGGCCCTCTGCTTCTCACAACACAAATATATCATTGGTATATCAACGTTCATATTGGGTATATTGTTGATAATCACCTCGTTATTACGTCGGCCCAACCCAGCTCGGCCTAAAGAAGCAAAAGCCCGAGTTCGACCCAAGTCCAAATCCTACAGTCCTCAAGCATTGTTTGAGTCGGGCTTGTACCGATCCAACCACTGAAAATTAGACTCATAACCTAATCCACAGGCCTAATCCAATAGACCAAAGTTGGATCCAACTTGAATTGACCATCGGGCTTGAATAAACCCATATAATAAAATATTTTGTAATTATTAAATTTTTATTTTTTAAATATTTTTTCAAATGTGAGTATTAAAAATTGTGTTTTTATTTATGCTTTTGTACATTTTCTGATTTTGTTATATCAAAAAAGTTATCAATGAATTTTGTTGTATCATAGTTTTACAACTTAATTTATTTTATTTTTAAATAAATAAATTGTATTACTATATTAATATAGAAAAATTAGAGGGATGTGAATAACTAAACAAAAAAAATCCTAAATACCTATTAAATTATTATTAATAAATGTATATATATATATACACAATATCTAATAATATTATATTATATTTGATCGGGCCTTTGGGTCTGTCCAACACCGATCCAAATACGGCCCAAACAGGCTGGCCTAATTAAAAAACAAATATTCATATCCAATCCAATTTTTAGATGGGTTGGACTGGATTGGATCGGTCAAACGTTGGTTTTAGATTGGGCTTGGATCAAAAGTGGTTGGTATTTTTGTAATTTTCTATTTTTTTTCTATTTTTTTTTACAGACCTTTTATTTTTCCTTTCTATTAATTTTCCTTTTTTTCTTAAAGTAGCACTATAACTGAAATTAAAACTAACAGAAAATACTATATTTAATTTTTATAAAAATTTAGAATGGAAATTCAAAGACACTTAAAATGACAACTTAAAAAATTATTTGGTACAAGTTAATTAAAATGAGTTGAAATTGATATTAATATTAATTGAAAACAATATTCAAAGTCTATGCGTACCAAAATGAAACAAACTTGAAACATAAAGGACTAAAGTAGGATTAAATAATAAGTAATTCAATAATTTTTAATTAAAAGTCTAGTTACACAACAAAAAAACGAACCTTAAAATTCAAAACCTGAATAGAATCAAACCATTTCCTAATTAAAATATAGTTTATTGACTTGATGGATGAATTACATTAAAATTTAAAAAAAAATATTACATTAAATTTTTGTGTGAAGTAGGTATTACTTACTCCACTAACACTAAAAGTTGGAAGTTTTAACTCCCACCTATTCTTAGAACTACAAATTATAGTCAGATTTATATGAAAATTCAAATCATAACCATAGATATTTAAAATAATAATTATTTTAAATAATTTTATGTTAAATCAAAAGTTGGACTTCTAAGTTTTAATGGACGTGACTATATTAATTTTTTTGCACTCTAAATTTTTTTAATAAGTTTGTAATTTTCATGGTCTCTTTTGCTTCTTAGACTCGAAAAAAATGTTAATAAATTCTTAGAGTTTCAAATTTACGTCTGGTAAATCGTTGACATTAACTTTATTAACTTTTATGTATTATACTAATTATATTATTTAAAAATTGTGGTAGGATAGTACAACATTTAATGATATAATGTTAAATGAATGAAGTTAATAGCATATATATCMATTAAGCTAAAAATTGAAAGTGTAATAATTGAAAGTGTAATAGTATATTTACCATCTTCTTTTAAGTTTTAAGTATTCAATTAAGTATACAAAATTTGAATTGCTACTTATTAATTAGTCTGAAATATTTCATATTAATTTTCATAAGTTAATATTCATGTTATAATTACATTATATTTTGAAGATGAAATTTAATAAGTTAATATTTAGTATTACTTTCAATTAATATTTTCGTATCACTCTCAATTATGTATGTTAATTTAATAATTTGGAACCGAAAAAATCATACTGCTTTAAATGTTAGAAAATCTTTTTTTTATCCAGATACGCATGCCATATTAGGTAAAAAAAATATCCATTTTCTGTCACAAAGAAAAGGGAAAAAAATCCATTCGGAACATGAGATAAAATAAATTATTTCCTTGTTTGAAGCGGGAGCGGATCTTTTTCATCAGATAAAATATTTTATTTCCTTAACGATGTTATAAATAATAAAAATCGATAAAATTTCACTAAATGGGAACTGAGTAGGAAAGGAAACTATTTACCTGACAAGGAACGGAATTTATTATAAGTACAAGAGAAATTCAACTCATTCTGCACACAAAAAAAAAGTCGCAGAAATTCAGCCATTGCCGTTCTGTCTCGGATTCTTTCCTCTTGTTGCACTGCAGCGAAGAAACGATTAATTTTTTGATTTCGTTCCACAGTTCCTTGCAGATTCTAAACCAATCGGAGTCTGCAGGTTAGATGTTCATCTTCATGTTCTTTGTTAATTTTTTCTTTTTCCTGAATTAGGTCAACATATATGTTTGAAATTGAAATTTACCTTTGTCAATTTTGCATCTGCTGTTCGTCGAAGATCGCTATACCAGAACAACATTTGTAATTTCTATCGGTAATTTTTGACAGATCTCGGATCTAAACTATGACGAAATCCAGTGATGCCTCGGAGGTGAACGAGCCAAATCGTTACTCTTTCAACTTGCACGATTTCTTGAAAACGAAGCGGCGGATTGTCAAGTGTGCGAAGAGGACGAAACCGGGGAATATGATCGTCAAAAAAAGATGTGGCTCTGGCTTTGGCTCTGGCTCTGGCTCTGGCCTCGTTTCCCTGGCCAAGAACAGAGCACTCTGCAACTTGTATTCAAATCTTCCCATACACATTGTTGTCAAATCTTCTTCCATGGAATTTTCCACCTCAAAAGGTCGCATTACTCTCAGATTTGGATCCAACGGGCTGCCAAGGCTCATGAAAGACATTTTACGCGGCCTCTCTAACATTCACTGCGACATAAAACCAAGAAATATGTTATTGTTACCCGGAGGTCGCGGAATCGAGACCGATTCTTCTTCGGCGGATTTTGGATTGGGTAAAAAGTTTGAAATTAGCGGTCGGCCTGCGGATATTTGGGCATTTGGATGCGTGGTGCTGGAGATGTTGACTGGGAAACGCCCAGAGTGGAGATTTGGTAATAGTTATGAGCATCTTTTGGATTATTACAGCACAACAACTGATCGACTTGCCATTAATTCCAATTGAAGATATCAAATGTGGGGAGAGATCTTGTAGAAGGTGTTTTAAAATTAGAAGAAGACGCTAATCGATTGTTGGTTAAATATATATCGTTTTGTTTCTTGAAGCCGATAGTATGTCAAATTATGAATCTCGGATTACGAGAAATATAATATGGATATGTTTTGATGTAATTACTAATTAGTCTCTTCTTTTATTTTGTTTGTGTCTGGGCTAAAATTTTGATCAGAAAACTTCTTTTTTGTTTTCATTGCTGCATTAACCTCATTCTCTCATCTTCTCTTTAAAAACAATTAGTGATTATAAAATTTTAACTTATTAGTTAACAACGTTAGAAAAATAATACAGAACACATACATCAAGATAATTGCTCAAATCGTTATAGAAATGTTAAGTATTGTGTTACAAATCCAATAAAATTAAAGAATTTCACTGATATATAAACCGAACACGGGTTATAAAGTTCGTGAGTTGAAATCTCTATGCAACAATTTAAAAGGTGACGGAGAAAGGCGTTCCTGACTGGGAGTGGAATTAAAAAATTGCAACTTTTGACATGTACTTGAAACTTGTGTTCGGATACAAGTACCAGATTTTCCCATCATATCAAAGCATTTCAATAAAAAATGAAAATACTGACCACATCTCAAACGAAGAACAACAAATTAAGGAGAATTGCAGCGAAGAAAAGTGAAGGGAGTGGAGGAACTGTGAATAGAGCAGCAGCATTTGTTGGCGTTGTTCCAGGAGTTGCTAAAACGTCGACAGCAAATTTCATGCCCTGTTTGCAATGGTTCCCAACGGTGCATATAAAATAAAGACGCCCCGGACGATTAAAGGTAATAAAAAGTCTTGGGTCGAAAACTATTCCAGGATCAACGCATCCATCAAACTCCGATTGAGATGGTGGCTGCGCAAAGTTGTGAGTTTCGTTGGCACTCGAATTGAACCCTACACAAAACCAAAACAGAGTTGTAATTAATTAATGATGAGAATAGAACACAAAGAAGTGGGATTTAATTAATTAATTAATTAATTACTTACTTAGCGTATCGCCGACGAAGAAAGTCCGGTTTCTGGCCCAGTCGGAGAAGAAGGTTGGGGTTGGCGGTAGGTTCCAGCCAAAATCGCCTCCGACGTGGTGGTCGACGGCGGCGACAGCGTGTAGGAGAGCCACAATGAAGAAGAAGAGGGAAGCCATGGAACTCATTCTTGCACAACTCATATTTTGGTGATTTTGTTTTTGGATCGAGGAGTAGAGAAAGAGGTGGGTTTTTATTTATTTATTTTTTTGATTTGTATTTTTATAGAAGTTATTTGGGTGGGGATGGATTTTAGTCAATGATGTATAGGCGGCGAGGGGGGCACGTGTGGAGAAAATGCTTCTACTTTTCCTTAACGCTACAGCCACCTTTTATGATAAAATTTATAAATTTTTTTAATACTGACACGCGGGAGTGGAAGTGGAGATTGAACTCATTAATAAAGGAGATTGAACTCATAATTTATTAATCGAATATATATATCAATTGAATTAATTGTTTTGGTTATTTATAATTTATTTAGACTTGACCACTACATTTTCATATATAATATTTTTTAATAGATATGTGCGTTGTAAAACATTGGTTAAAAAACATGAAATTTATTTTTTACTTGTTGAAATTTATTCGATTTCTTTTTGGGAGAGTAATTTAAGGGTTAATTTTGTACCTTGAACAAACTTAATTAATGAAAACATTGGTTTTTATCAAAACTCATGAGTTTTTTTTTGCTTTAGATTTTTACTATTGATTTTTTCTAAATTAGCAGGTTAATTGGTGAAAATTTAAGATATAGTAAAATTAAACACTCATTAGATTCAAAATCGAAACTCTATATTTAAAGTAAACATGTGCATTTGTAGGATGCACAAGAAGAAACTTCAAAGAAAGCATTTGTAGATATTTTGTTATACTATTAATTGAATATAGGTATGTGTTCCAAAATAATGAATCAAATTCAATGTAATCATAATTTTTTTTCTATAAGTTCGCGTCAATTTTTAAGATGGTAATAAATATATTATCTATTGGATATACTCGAATTAATTTAAACCCTCATCAATTATCAACTCAAATAATGTTAAATAATTAAATAGATAATTTTCTTTATTTGATTGAGGACATATATATACAAGTTTTATTTGGTTCGTGGCAGAATTTGAATTGGATATTGCAAGCAATGGCTCCATCAAGATCCAGGTGTCAGGACTTTTGAGTCAATAATGATGGGTCGGTCCCAATTTTGACCGTCTTATTGTGAAAATATTGACCATTGTTTCTTTCCAGTCCGCGTAAATCTGTGTTCTCAATTTCGCCAAAAAGAAAAAATGAAAAAAACTAAAACTTCTGCCAATAAAAGTTGGAGTCAGATCGACGAAATAAGCAGGGGTTTCTTGTTGGAACTTCTAAAGGGTGATTATCAAGGGAGATATTTGAATGTTTTGTATCTAATCTCGATTTATTAGTGGAACTCGTATCTGAGCGGAATACTAGATGTAACTCATAACTGTTGTGGTGGATCAGTATAAATTCTTGTCGTTTTCTGCTTTCCCTTAAGCTCTTATTTGTGTATTGTGTGATTGGCTTGTTTGCTGGATAATTATGGAAGGAAAAATTATCTGGAACACCTAATTTCCAACAATCAGTAACATTTTTCTTTGCCAATATTCATATTCTCTGCAAATTTCTCCTTGAAAATAAATGATAGAGTTCAACCATGAAACACATTATAAAATATATACGATATTGACACAGTTCCTTATCGCACCTTTAACAAGAGACTCGTCAATTTTATTATGAGATATATGGAAAGATATCTATCATTCATAAGGATGCCACTGTTAGTAGAATTGTAGCCTGAATATTAATTAAATTAATTTTACTCCACATCCATGGTGCTAATTTAGGAGTAGGAGTAAGGGCCCACTTCAATTTAGTTTCAAAGTAGAGAAAGAGATGTTATCATTTAATATCTACTTAATGTAGTTTGGCGATATTTGATTGGAAGGGTCAATGACTTTGAGATTTTAAACATTTAAGTTGACTCCTTGTTCATAAACCACCACAGGCAACATCAATGTGCGGAAAATAAATTTTTCAGTCTTTGTGAAATAAAATTCAATTTCAAAATTTTTGTGATACATATATGTTGATAAGTCAGCTTCTGATCGAAAGTAGACRTGCAATTAGTTAATTAAGGTGATGACTTGCATAAACATAAATCTTGAATTAGTATGGTGCTTGAGCACGTACATTTTGAAGTACTTAGTTTGAGTTGGTGTTAGGTTGCATAGAAAATATATATCTTTGAGAAGAATGGAACTTCACCTTTTTATAAGTGGAGCTTTAGAAAGGCATAATCATGTCATTTTAGTACACCATATTCAGTGTCCATCCACATTTCTAGATTGGCATCGAACATGACTTTCGCTGGCTTGCTCAAAGATGATTATGCTAGTTTCATTTCGTCCTTGACCTATTCGAATTAAGGCCCAACATGTGTTTGTAGATAGGTGCTTCATGTGGCAGACTCTAAATATTCCACCTCTTTATATATAATTAAGTTTTTTTAATAACGTTTTTTGTTTATGTTTTCAAAGAAAAAAACCATACAAGTTTTGTAGATCTATTTTTGTTTTTTTTTTTAATTTTTTGGAACAAAAGGGAAAATATGTTTAATAATGTTTTTTAGTTTTTGTTTCAGACAGAAGAATTAGAGGTACAGAAATTATGGAGGTAGAAAAGTTGTAGAGAAATAGAGTAAGAGATATATTAGAAATAAATGTTAGATGGATAATTTATAGAAAAATAGAAACATTTTAGAGAGATATCAACCGGTTATACATTAAAAGCATTTACCAACGTGATTATGACCAAACCAATGGGTATATTTTTAATTTTTGCCTTAATTTGACTTGAATCCTTGATTATTATTAGTATTATTATTATTCATTTAAACGTCTTTTAATTAAATTTGGGGATGGGTATGGAACTTACAACCTCCTGATTGGAAATATTTCTCAATTASTGTTGAGTTATGCTCGCTTTGACTCCTTTAATTAATTTGAATATATCATATTTTCCCAATGAAACATAATAATCACTCATTCAAACTTGAATCAGGTAATACTACAATATTTAATTTATGCAAACAACAAAGACTCTTCTTAAAAATAATAGAGAATAATATAGAAGCACACACGGCTCCTAGGCATCTCAAGGTGAGAAAAATCAAATTATTTAAGCTATGATGGTGAGGATAAATCCAGTGAATGTTGCCACTGCACCAACTCTCAAAGATGAACCTGAACTCGGAGGCGGCGGTGGTGGCTCCACCGCAGAATTTGGCGCTCCAGGCTGTTCCACAATGTCGACAACAAATTTCATACCCGCGTTGCAGTGGCTTCCAATAGTACAGATAAAATAACGACGACGAGGACGATCAAGTGTGATAGAAAAGACAGCTGATGTACCGAAAGTTATTCCTGGCTTGACGCATCCATCGAAATCCGCCTGAGATGGGGGTTCAGCGACATCGTGCGACTCAGTGGCTTTTGATCTAAACACTACACATAACAAAACACTTTTAACTTTCAGCACAAAAAATCAAAAAACAAAAGAATTTGGAAGACGAAGTAGTGGAGGTGCGTGTAAGCTGACCCGAACACTCACAAAATAAAATTGAAAAGAAAAAGTAGGGTAATGGTTGATATATATTACCGAGTTTATCGCCGACAGAGAAAGTTCTACTGCGAGACCAATCAGAGAAGAAGGTGGAGTTCGGCGGTAGGTTCCAACCGAAATCGCCACCGACGTCGTGGTCGACTGCAGCAACGACATGTAGGAGGGCCCCGACAACGAAAAGAGAAGCAACCAAACTCAATCTTGTAGCCATTTTGATGGGAAATGTGGATTGAGTTGAAAAATGAGAGAAGGGGAGGAATTTATAGAAGTTATTTTTGGGTGGGAATTGATCAATTCGAATTTGGAAGAACAAGTCAAGTTCAAAGTTGTAGAGGGTCAACAATAATATTTTGAATCCGGCGCTGTGGAGAAAACGTGTAGGATTATGAAACAACAAATAATATGGAACAGCTCCAATTGGGGAAAGAGAAGTTGTATACGGTGATTCCTTTTACTTCTTCTTTATCCCATTTGTTTTTATTTTATTTTTGGTGAATCAATCAAGAAGTAATCAACTGTCTATTATAACATGTAAAAAAAATTAATAAAAACAGACCATCATGTAATGGAATATGACTAGAGCAACTCATCTTTGTTAGATTGAGAAAAAACGTTTTATTTATAGAATAGTAACTTTCGAGATGATTTGAGCCCCTAGAATTACTTGTATTAATATCAAAATTATTATCATTTTAAAATGACATGTTTGACGGTGATTTTAGAAAAATATAAAATTGTTGGTAGTGATTCTCAACCAATCATTGGAAATGAGTGATTTTTGTTAAAAAAATAAAAAGTAAAAAATTTTAATTTTTAAAATAGTTATGGTTTTAAATTTAAAATTGGTGTTTCTATTTCACCTAATTTTCCTTTAAAATTTGAGATAATTTATTTTATTCTTTCCAAAAATTTTGGTTACTTTCTAATTTTATTTACCTTTAATTTTGTTTATTCTGTATTTTTTTTCTTCTAAAATTTTTGCAATATATTTCTAAATTTTTAGTTCCAATATATTTTCTAAATTTCTCGATATGAAATTTTTATCTCTTACTCTTTAAAATTTCTATCTCTAAGATTTTTATTCCTTCATAATTTTTTTCTCTCTCAATTTTTTTGGTCAAATTATCTCTTTATACTTCAAATATTAATGATTCAAAATCACTTAAAAATATAACTAAACATTAAAATATCTATATAAAAATCACTTTCACAAAATCAATTATTATTAAAATAACTATATAATTCTATTTTACTAAAATCATTCATTTCTAAATTCATTCCCAAACAAGTTCTAAATAGTTGTTTTTTTTGTACATTTTTTAATAGTTTAATTGATTTAAGGTTTTAATAATATTTTGGTAATTCCTATTATTTCAACTATGATTCATTTTGATTACTGTACTTTCAACTTTTTTCTATACTTTCAAAATACTTGTTTTAGTCTATATACTTCTAAAATCTTTTTTCTATACTTTCAAAATACTTGTTTTAGTCTATATACTTCTAAAATGTAACCATTTTGGTCTTTATTTGCAAAATTTGCAAAATTTTAACACGAAGTTTATAAACAATGAAAATCCTTTAATACAAATTTATGTCTATTTCAAGAAATTTTATGAGTGAAGTATCATATTAAATTTTTTATTGAAATAAATGGAATAAAAATGAAAATAATTTGACAAAAAATTATCACTTTACAAAATGTCGCGAATACGAATCTCCAACCCATATATTGCACTAAAAAGATATGCTATCAAATACTGAAAATATAGAATATTATTTGTTACCTATATGCTTCATCTTTTTTTCCCTTCAAGATAAAAGTTATTATCAAACATATTTTCATTTTCAAAATTAAAAATAAAAGTTTACCCTCCAATTGACATTTAAGATTTCTTTTTAACATGTACTAAAAAAAAAAATCGCTAAAGTGAACATAACTTAATGGTAATTGACATCTATTTCCAACTAAGAGGTCGAAAAAATATACTTTATTTTTCTTTTTCCTTTTTCAATTTTTACATATAAAATAGGTTAAAATATTATTTTGTTCCTGTAATTTAAGCTTTGATTGATTTGGTACTTGTAATTTCAACTTTGATTTATTTTAATTTTTCAAGGACAATTTTATAGTCTATAACAAAGCCATAGCATTTGTTCTTTAATTATTCACATTTCACAATATGAATTTTGCTGAGACTGATAAAAAAGATCAGCAACTTCTAGTGTACATTCATGAAAACAAGAATCCATGAACTAACCTATGCTCTGTATCGAAACGTTTGAAGGTAAACTGGGAGCATTTGATAGCGTTTCGAAATTTTGGCATATGATAGGAAGCGCGACGTCGCAAAATTTTCCATTAAATCCGTCATTGCAAGAATAGAAGCAGAGTTACAGCTGATACTATCGCTACTGAGATGTGGTGCCCATAATAATAAGAACCTCTAGCTCCATGTTCCTGCATCAGTGAACAAAAGCAAGAATAATTTCCAACAGTGAACAAAGTCAACTTCCATTCAATTTCCAACAACATATTCTGGTGATATTAAGCAGATGTCATATCTATTATGATCTGATGAAATCTAAAATTTGCAGTGTTGCATTTAGCCAAGCTCCTTAGCTGTCAAAGTACCACTCAGAAAGGAGCTTGAACTTTTGCCATGGATGGTAGCAATTCAAGGGTGAAAACCCATCTCTCACATGCCAAAACTCCTTTCCTGTTATTTTACTCCAAATAAATCTAAATTATGAAATTCAACAAAGTAAAAAAATATACTTCCATGCCATGTTGGTTTCCAGTTATGAATGCAGATTCTGTACTTTCATCTTCCTTCATTCACAAAGGAGATTGAAAATCATGTACTGAAGCAATGACCCAAGGGAAGAGAAACAGAGAAAAACTTCATCTTAATGTTCCAATCTAATCAATTCATTATTTCAGAAGATGTTCTTAAGCCCTTTTAGTCATTTATCTTTCTAGAGGGACGGTCAAGGAGGAAAGTGAGAGCTGTGAACAAGACAAATATAGATGAACTTGTGTCTGTATGTTGTATGTATCACGCCGTAGGAAAATTTCACTTTTGCTTAGAAGTAAACTTTAATACCTTAATGGTTGAAAATGGTGAACATGCAGATGAAGATTGAAGTCCTTGAAAGCCAATATCATATGAAATGCTCCCATCAGGCTTGAAAAGTCCATAGTTTCTTTCAGACGTAGGTCCCCACTTCAAATTCTCATTAAATAATGCAAAAATATATGCCTTCAACACATTTTTCGGCCTAAGAGGAGTTCCTTTCTTCTTGGCAAGACGTTTCCGCAAGTTATAATTATAAGTCTGTGCATTATTTACTGTGGCTGCTTTTTCATTGTCATCTCCACGTGAAGCCCATCCTGTTTCTGTAACTATGACTTCCATATCTTTATATCCAGCATCTTCCAGCGCAGCATAAGCTGCATCGATCTGAGCATCGAGCATGTTATCATAATGTAGGTCAGTTTTAGGATCATAAATCCCTTCTGTTGATAGAAAAAGAGCATAATTAATATCAATATTTCCTGGGTCACTCATGTAGGCCAGAAATGGGTATGCATTTAAACAGAAAGGAGAGCCAATCTGTGAGAAGAACTCCAATAGAGGTTTCATATACTGAGCAACATTATCTCCGAATTTACACGATGAGGGAGGAAACGAATTAGAAAAGACAGCTTGGGAATGTGCTGTAGTAATCTGAATTATACCATCTAAATTGAGCTTCTTTACAGCATTATAAACATTTTTGGCTGCACCCAACAATGCTGACCATAATCCATAATCACTCCCTCCCAAAACTTCATTACCTATAGCAATTCCACAAATATGTGTCTCCGGAAGGAAGGGCTGCACATTTTGTTTAACCCAGTTCAAGGCACGATCTTCATTTGCACTCATATCTTTCAGGTACTCGTTCGGTATACTAATGACAATCTCGAGCCCTGTCCCACTGAAGGCCTTGAGAACACTGTGATCAGCATCATAAATCCTAACATTCTTTATCTTAGCAGCTCTAAGAAGAGTAACAACTTTATCAGGTGAAGGGATGTTATTTGCGATTCGGCCATAGTTTATTCCATAGGTTCCAGTAAATGCTTCCACCGTTAATGAAGCTGCAGAAAAGGTGGAGGTAATTCCATTAATCACTCTGTTCTAGGATAGGTCAAGATGAAAGCACGAATTCGAAATGAAATTTTAAGCCACAAAGATCTTGTGCAGCTAACAGGAGTGCGTAAAGTCGAGTTAATGACTAATGAGTACCAATTTTGAGCCAGAAAAGGTTCAGAAAATGCATAAATCATAACAATATGAAATTGGCCTAAAGGAAATATATTCAGACGGAAATTCTAAAGAACATGGAAAAGTATATTTCACTTCAATTCTCTCCTAGAGAACTGTAGGAAGTTGGCAGTGATCCTCATGCTACCCACACGGCAGATCACATGATCTATGATAAAAATTTGAGCATCAAAACGATACAGACTTTTAACTTAAAATACCAAAGCTCTATCATACCGACAAATCGAGGATGGTTCTAATGAATAATATCAGTTCAAAAAGCATTGATGACATGCTAACATCTTTGATGTAATAATCAATTTCCTTCAAAATCTTTGTTTGACATGACTGATCATATTGGTTACTAAGATCTTCACAACGTTTTCTTTCTAGCTCATAAGCTTCAAAATTAGTAGAGTAGCCTTTAAAGAAAAACAGAAGCAAAGTTGACTACCTAAATTTCACAGGCATAATTATTGTCAATCTAAAACAAGCTGAAGAAACAAATTGCAGAACAGAAAAGTAAAAATGGTCCATAAAAGACAACCTTACAAGTTTGAGCTTGTATAAGCAAACCGATGCATCCTACTTTTGTATTTAAATCAGGGCCTTAAAGTCCGTAAAAACTTGAAAAGATAGTTTGACAAAGAGGCAGAAAAGTGAAGGGAAAGAAAATTCAATACCAAGTGTAAAGAAGAAGACAAGCAATAAGGGAATCAACCGCCGCAAGAAGCATAAGCGCGTGGTGATCATCATTTCCACGAAGATAAGAAGAAGAAATGAGAAAAATTCTTCAAAGAAAGATCGCGATTTGGTCTGGTGGGAAGTACCAAATCAATCCCAAACTCAAAAACTGAAACGCTCTGCTTCTTCTTCCTCTGGCATGCCATAAGCCAAAAGATTCCCCCTTTTGCTTTTAACCGAACCCCCTCCACTTACCCTCTTACTATATATACAGAAATCTCTATCTCGATTGTCTTCGATTGAAATTGAAACTCGGGGAGTCAAATGGGGTTCTTGGTTTCTGGTTTCTGGGTTTTGATGGAACCTCTCCCCTCTCTTTCTTCCACAACTACTTGGTGTTATAACTGATCACATTACACTTCATCCCCTTTGGTCAGCATTGAATAAAATGAAATTGACATTACGAGCACTTGACTGTGTATTTTGGGTGCTGTAAAACCCATGCGTTTTTCTGACGAATTGGGACGAATTTCAAAATAGCAATTGCATCCATTTTTACCTGAGATGAGATGGTGACGTTCGAGCAGTGCTCCCTTTCAATTTTTCTTGGGGGCGATGATCTTCGTTTCCTGTGGGTTTTCAAAATATCGAAGTGAATAATCATAATCTCACTGTAAGTACTCAATTCTGGCTTTTCTGAACCTGGGTTTTGGAGAAAATTTGGTAAAAAAGTTTAAAAAAAAAAAAACAAAACAAAAGAATAACGCTAGAAGGAGGGCTTGAACCTCCGACCTTGTGGTTAACAGCCACACGCTCTAACCAACTGAGCTATTCCAGCAACTTGAAACATGAATGAGTTAAATTAATTTTATATTAATTATCTTTTTTCGAGATTTAAAATTCATATCTTTATCAATATTTTTCATATTATGCTATTATTTAAATTATTATTTTAACAAAAAGTACGCTAAAAATTACAAAAGTTTCTGTAATTTGGTATTAATTTCTCTGCATATGATCATGTTCTCATTCCCGTCACAGATTCAAATTTATTTTTGGGTTCTAAAGAAAAGAAATATACATTTGTCCAATTTGTACTTATTGACCCATAAAAAGAAATTAAAATCAAATGGTCCTTAATCACAGCTGTGTGATAAATTATATCTATATGATTTTAATCTAATCTATGTATTTATTTAACAAATCAATTATTAGTGGTGACGAATTTTAAACTATATCTTACTTAATCCACTTTGAATTAAAAAAGGAAGTCAATGAAAATAGTTAAGATGCCTGACATATTAGATCTTGTATAATTTTATAGAACTGATTTAAAATAATAGATGTTTATTGTTCTTAATCTAAACAAATTAAATTATTTTCTTTCTTAGAATCTTCAATGAAACTCTGAACTGCTACTTGATTACAAGTTTACAACATAATCTAGAGAACAAGTTCCATTACAGATGTTTCATACTTTCTGTCAGCTAATTTTAGAAGGATTTAAGAGACTGGCTTCAAGATTCTGAAGCAGAGAGTAATTATAAGGTTTCCCAAGTTAAGTACTTCAATAAATCATCACAAGACTGCATTATACCTTAGCTGCACTGTACTGCTAAGTGCTATGTAATATTTTTATACAAAGATGGTATGTACAAATAACTAATCTAAAAATATCAATACATGAATGTCTCGGCATATGAATCGAATCGAATAAACGACGTTCGAACACAGGACATCTTACATATTTGAAACAGTTAGAACTAGAAATGTAAAGTCACTCAATTCTGTCAACTGTCAACCTCTTTATTATGTTCCTCTTTGGTCCCTTTTGCTGCTTCTTCCATCTTGATTTCTCCTGATTTTGTAGAACTCGGGTTGAATTCGTTTGGTTCGTTTACTTGCACTTCGACCGACACCATTGTTTCTTTGCAAATCGCTGCCTTATCGCCTGGACTGGTCGCTTGCTTTGCATTCTCAAACTCTTTTTCCCCCAAAATGGATTCCTTGTCCTCTGATTCAATGGTTTCCTTTGCATCATCTTGAAGTTGCACCTTTTCTTCCCCTTTTGTTCCATCTAAATTTCGACTTCCCTTTGTTGCATCTTCAGAACCTTCAGTTTCCTTGTTCCCTTCTGCGCTTCCCCACTCTATTTCAGCAGGATTCTCGCATTCCTCACCATCAAGTTGTTGCCCCTCTTCAGCAGGTTCAGAGGAGGCCAAGACCGGGGCAGGGGCTGGGGCAGTTTCCACATCCTCATCTTGCAGTGTTCTATTTTCTTGATTTCCCTTCCCATCAGTAACACCGCTCTCATATTTATCAGCATCTTGCTTATGAACTGCTCTTGCCTCCTCAGAACCATCTAGGACAACATCTGCTTCTTTATCATCTTTTTTCGAAACAGCCAGTTTTCGAGTTCGTTTCTTAGGCCATTCAATTCGAGGCAAGGGAGCTGCCTTCACCCTCTCACTAATCCTAGCTGATTTTCTAGGTGTCTCACCAGTACCCCAATCAAACTCAGAAGATGCTGGATTACCAGGGTGTGATTTCAGGTACTGATGCAGCTGCCTTTTGCCATTAATCTCCTCCCCTGTAGGAGCTAGGAAGATGATTTCCTTTTTCTTAGTGATTCCATCTAACTTGGGCAAAAACTGCACATAAAATTAAACGCAGATTCTTTCACCTCATTTTAACTCAACTCAATCAAAACCCATTAACATCAATCAGATCATCTTCATTAACAGTTGACTTTTACAATCAAAGTTATGCAGAGGCTAGAAAACCCAAAGCATCATCACTATAATTAAACTAAGAACCAATCAGAGGCTGCATGGCACTAAGGTCTCCCAATCAGACAGAACCTTCACCCAAAAGAGAGAAAAAGGAATAACAAACAAATGTTGGAAAAGAAGAAGATAAAGAAAAGAGACGGAAACAAACCAACTTTTTCCAACAAAACCCTAAAAGATAATTGGCTAACGAGTACCTAACACTAATTAAAAAACAAAAATACAGTTTCTAGAAAACCTAAAGAGAAAGAAACCCCAATCCCCAATCCCCAAACCCCAAACACCAAAGCATAAGAATCCATAATTGAACAGTATTTGAAAGATGCCCATTAGCCCTGACATCTAGATAAGTGCAATCGAGCTATAAATTCTAACACAGCAAGCCAGAAAATTAGCAAACGAAAATTTCAGGGACAGACAAAAAATAGTGGGAAGGAGAAGGACCTTTTTCTTCCAACCAGGAGGAGCAGGCAGTTCCAAGAACAGAAGGTCCTCGTTTGAGCCCTCTTTCACAGTGCTGGCCATGTTCTCCACTTCCCAATTCAAGTGATGATCACGATTCACGATGGTATTCATCAAAAAAAGTACCCAAAAAGAGGGATGCCCAGTTGCCCACTAAGCTGGAAAAAGAAGGGGCTAAAGACACAGCTCTCGCAGTCTCTCTCTGCATCAACCAAGTGCCATCTGTTGTGGATAATTGATGAGGAATACGAACCTGAGGCGCCCAAAAAGCGAAAAATAGCGATTGGGGTCGGGATTCGGGAGGGACCCAATTAAATTTATGTTCTTCAATCACCGAATTCTGCCTTATCATTTCAAATCCCGTCTCCTCCGAGCGAGAGAGGCCGTGTCGCGGTTTCGTCTTCGTCTTCGGTTGGTGTTCTTGGAACCATGACGGCGCCAATAGTTGACTGACACGTGTCTCATTTCGGACATAGTCGGCGTGCTTCCGGCGAATCGAATGAACGCACGTTAAGAAGTCACATCCTTCATCAAGCGGTTAACCGACGCCGTTTTTGTTAATTGTTCGACAATAAGACAAAATTTAGACAGTATATTATTCGGAAAAGTAATTAAACCATTAATTAATTTTCTATTAATTGAGATGCCATAATTGATAGGATCTCACCGTTCTCTCTCAACGGCATTAAATGAGTTTAAAGATGTTGCGACTTTAGAGAAGTTTTAGTGAGTTGAAATTTATTTATATTATTAATTCTTTGAATAGACAAACAAATTATTTTATTGGCCACGATTTTAGATAGTTTGTGTCTTTCATAGTTGTTTTTTTGTGGATTTTAATTATGGTGCATGATCACTATTCTTCGGATGTAATATTTAGCATCATGTTTCCTTTTAATACAGATTTTTTGAATAAAAAAGTAGTAATTAATGATAATCTATTGCAGATAAAAAAATATTGTCGGAAAAAGAAAAATGGTTTTCATAAAATAACGAACGTGATTTTTTATGAACTGAACTGAATTGAATATGTATATGTTAATGTACTCCAATTATTTTTTTAACACCTAATATTTTCTTTGTAATCTTTCTTATATTACGGTCTATAAATGTAAATATTTCTTTAATTTAAGGAAATATATCTACATAGTTATATTTATATTTACGGATCCAAATAAAAATAGCTAAAATTTGTAGATGTTGGAGATGTGAGCTGCTGGTTGAGCCCAGCTGAAGTTTATGCCCATTCTTTAAGCCCAATCAGCTCTGAGCTATATTGGCCCTAAAAAGGAGTCAACTCATTGGGCTTTGACTAGTAGAGCCCAAGGTTTTGGACATCTTAAACAAAACCTTTATTTATTTATTTATTTTGAGAAATATATTATGAGAATTTGTTTATTCAACTATAAGTGAGGTTTTTTTTAAGTACAACAAATATGGAGATGTGAGACTGGATCTTAATGTAGCTTATTTTGTGTAGTCTGATAATTTGGAGGTAATCCGACGTGAAAAGAGACCTCCAAAAGTTAGTGGCTTCATCAACGAAAAAACGTTCATTCTTTGGGAATTTTCAACGGCTTCATACATATATAGACAGAGAAATCATGTTTGCTTATGAGTTTACTATCTTTACGCCTACTTCCGACGAAGTGCTGATTTGGGACCTACTTCCGACGAAGTGCTGATTTGGGAGGATAACCTTCTTTTCCTTGACTTTGATGTTTCTAATTGTTTTATACATGGAGATGTGGAGACACATACATACTTTAAAAAAAAGGTAAATATGTCGATTGCCGTTGAACTATGTTTGCTTTTACATGATATTTAGGATATTCCGATTACGTAGATCTATACTAGAAATTTTATGAAGTCATCATGTAGATGGGGGAAAATGGAAAAATGTCTCATATTTATTGATTTAAAAATGGTTAATTGTCAATTTAAAAATGTCTCATTTTCCGAATTTTCATAATTTTATTAACAGATGGAAAAATTTCATCCTTCCTATTGCGAACGGGCCGAACAGAGGGCCGATCCAATAGTTGTGGATCATGGGCCGGCTTTATCGGGCTTGAAATGGGCCCAAAAATATATGTGAGGAAAAATCACAAGCTAACTGAACAAACTTATATTTAAACTAACTGACATGAGTCAATTAATCAAGATACATATCTTTATCCAAAAGGTATATTTAAGGTTCGACAACCATTTCGTTTTTAGTTTTATGTTTCTAAAAATCATGCTTGTTTTTGTACAATTTCATTTTTTTTTAGTATAACATGTGAGGGTGGGGGACTGATAACTCACAACTTCTAGTTGGAAATATATGTTAATTATTGCTGAGCTAGGCTCATTTTGACAAGTTTTGTACAATTTCATTGACCTCGAAAACATATTTGAATTATTAGTCAATTTTAAAAAACAAAAATTCTTTTGAAAATTACTCTTTTTGATTTTCAAAATTTAGCTAATATTTTAAAAATGTTTATAAAAACTATATAATAAAACAAAGAAATACATAGCTTAATTAAAACWTAAAAAAAAAAGAAAAACAAAACAAAACAAAACGGTTTTCAAACATGGCTCAAGTTATTGCCATCAGATATGTCCCAATGAATTCTTGCCTAACTAATCAAACTTTACCTTATAAAACATGAGTAAGAAGAAGAAAATATTTGAAAATTATTTTTTAAAAATTGAAAGTTACTCCTTGCATATATTTGGAGCTTGGGGCTAATGACCTTATAAAACATCACCCACCACCCAATCAAGAACTTTACATTTGCAATGTGCTCCATAAACACATAATTAATCAGATGATATATACACACATACATATACCCATGATTTTTGTTAAGAGATTTTCGTCAGGGAGACCAGAGTAAAATATTCATCGATATATCAATATTCCATATATAACGAAAAGTTTGACATTAATGTGGAAGGTTAATCAATATTTCCATAAGATAAATATACTGACTCATTTATCTTTATACTGCAAAATGTTAATTCAAATAATTTTTATTATTATACCTTCCTAGTTTTTCAAAATTATTTGGTGATATTGATATCTGTTGAGACATATCGACATGTCCATAAACATCAACTTGATAGGATCAAAGCACATCTCATCTTAATATCGTCTTGTCTCATACAACAGTACCACACACGATTTATCCGTGACGACGCGACAAACAAAGAGATCCTAAAAACCCATCAACGACAAATTCTAACAGATATTAAAAGGCTCGACGCAAGTGAAAAAGAAAACGTTAGGTCTACTCTCACATGGAAGGCTATGATAAGTTTAGAGTAGGGATGAAATTATTGAACTTATGATGAAAGAAAGCAAAGTTCGACACTTTGGTGAATTGGCACAGCCATCTTTAGGTTTGGTTTGATTTGGTGATTTGGCGATTTGGGGTGTTGTGGCTTCTCTAAAGGATCAGGTTGCGTTTGGGAAGCAACTGAATTCTATATGATAAAAGTTTTTCTTTTTATTTTTTCCCCTTTTATTTTGTGATGATAGTGCTCAAACTCGACGTATTGTTGAAGTAATTCCATAAGCTCTCAAAAACCAGCTCTTTGAGACATCAACCTTTGGATTATATGTATGGTCAAAATCCTTACTCACTTTTGGTAATTTACATTACATATAACATTCAATATATCTTCGATCAAAAGATCTATGTAGAAAAAATTTTGATTCGAGTTTGAGAGAGTGTGTGGCAAAGGGAAGCCAGTTGTAGATGCTTTGCAACCGTACACTTTGGCATTGGATAGAGACAGCTACTATATTGTAGGCCTCAGAGATTTGTAAAAGAGAAATTAAAGTTAAATTAAATTTGTTTACAGATATATATAATATATGATGGTACGAAGCCTCTAAATTTTTGGACAGAGGAGAGAGAGAGGAAATGACAGAAGAGAGAGAGAGATGAAGGGAAATGATGTTGATTTCCAACAGTTATTCCTTGAAGATGCGAGAATGTCATGGGGTGGCCTGGCTTTGGGTTTGGGAATTATGGGGTAAATAAAATTTATAAAAGAAGAAAAAAAAGCTGGTTTTGTGGGCTATGAGAAAGAAAGATGGTGCCTTTAATAATGCCCTCAATGCCTCGCATCTACCTCAATAGCTTAAACCTAAGAATATTATGCTTAGAGTTCTAACTAGGAGAGGGTTTAAGAAATCTAAAGGTAAGAAAATGAAAAGATTGAAGTATAATTGATTTTTTAAAATTAACGGTACCTTAATTAATTTAAAGTAATTTTAAACTTCTTAAAATCAATGGAAACAAGAACGATTTTGGTCTCATTTTGTCAATAATAAAAATCACTACCAAACACACTTTAAAGAACTAGTTTAAGAAATTTAGATTTATATTATGAAGGAGTAGGTTTGAACTCATCTCAAAAACATATTCCTTGTTGGTTTGGAAAATTTTGGTAAATATTACTCTTATTCATTGTCAGTTTAGTTATATTTATAAGAATTGTTAGAGATAATGAACCCTTTACATTTCTACAGTGGCATGGTATGATATTGTCTATTTCGAACATAACATTCACAAAAGAGAGGAATCCATCGAAGAAGATACTTCTCCTCCCCTTTTTTCTGGAAGAAAATGTGGATTCGAATAAACTTGATGAGACGACAGAAGAGATTTGAGTGAGTAGAAAGGAAAAAACAAATGATGATTTCAACTTTAAAATGACGAGATATCAAAATATAAAAAGATCTGTTTACGAAATTTCTTACGTACCCTCTAAATAAAAATAAAGAAAATTCGAAATTAGAAATAAATAAAAAGGGAAAAGAAAAAGAAAAGTCTATCTTCTGGTTTGAAAAACCTCTTGTGACTATTCTTTTCAACCACGAAAATGTCCATTTGATAAATTTGAAAATGCGGTTAGAAAGAAAAAACAAATTAGTAAATTAATAATAATATAAAAATGAATACCTAAGCTAAATACAATCAAGAGATTTTTTCATTTTGTTTCCTCCAAAAAGCTTCGTACAAATGTTGTCCCTCATTTATATATCCACGATCTTTCCCTTGTTTAGCATTTTGGTCGCACTCTTAAATAGAATAATATAGGTTTACAACGACATGAATAATTACAAAAGTTTATAGTATGGATATTCGAAGTAGATGCTAGGAGCCAAGAGAGTACTAGAAATCATTCAATTTTAAGTAATTCCCCACCTTTCAGCCCATATTTTGCAGGTTTAAAATGTTAATATAAGATGGGGGTCTGTGAGTCTGTGACTGTATATTCTATATATAAATATATAATAATGTTTTAATCGTTATTTGATTAACATGAGAAACTATATTATACAAATGATCCAAAAGCTGCTGTACTTTTATGTGGGCTACGTGATCAGGAGTAGCTAATAAGATAAAAGAGTATATATGGGGATATATTGGGGCATTGGAATTGAATTTTAGTCGAAGAATTTAACGAGGGGAAGAAAAAGACAATTACAAACTTAAAAGTTTGACGTTAAGGGGATTCTTCCAAGTACTCTGGTTTTTTTTGGTCATTGAAACTTGGGATTTTGTTTTCTTCCTCTCTCTGTGCTTTCAGTTTCCCCATTTCCTACTGCTAGGCACTCGGCTGCCTGC